CTCTCTCTCTCTCTCTCTCTATATATATATATATATATATATATATATATATATATATCTTTGTCTCTGTCTTGCTTTCTCTCTGTCATATCGTTAAATTTGAATCTCTCATTATCCTCGAGAGACGTTTGGAATCTCGTTCACAGTTAAAACAACGAGAGCATAACTCGCGATGTATTTTTCGCTTATATTAATCTTAATAATTTGCCTGAATATTTAGTAAGAGTTTAAATAAATGCGATACGTCAATGACTTGCGACACTTCAATGACTCTTCAGCTTTATTCATCTATCGCTTACTGAATTATCTAATCTTCCATTGATATTTTTACATCTATCTTGATTTTCTTAGAATGCGTATATTTTTATCATTCCCTCTTTTAACACTCATTCTCTCCTTATCGTCCATATCATTTTCAGTGCCAGTCAACCTTTAACACGGCTTCAAGAATGATATCTCGGTAAGGTACGCCGTCAGAAGCTGTGAACTGCACAGCTACCGACCACTTTGCATATTAGATCACCTGCACGACTCGCAGTTCAGCGTCGTCCTCGACGAATATTCTACAGTCCGCCACTGCACCGGTCACCAGAAATAGCCTCCGTCCCGGAATCTCATTATCCCCGGATAGTTCTTATCGTCGTTGTCCGATATCTCGACGCCATGGTCGTCCAGCTAGAAGAGGGAATTCAAAAATTCTGCCAATTCCAGGGCATTTCCATATATCCTACTTGGTAATTTCATCGGCTTCCGGAAGAGTTGTCGCGTCCGTGACCGTTCATCGCTGATCCCTCGATGCCGAGCGAAGCGCTATCGATAGCCGCCGCAGGTTTGCATATATCGCAGTGAGGTCTTCAGTGCTCCACCCGAAAAAGCCACGTTGAAGTCAATGCATGTTCGATATCACAGGCAAGCGTACCAACGTGTCCGATATCACGGGTGTGTTATATATTTTCCATGATATTAGTACTTGGTGATGAACGTCAAAGAAATCAGTGAATAAGTGAATAAGATGTTTATGTCACATCGTACGAAACTACGCGTGAACATTATATGAAGTGGCAGCGCAAGACACAAAATGAGACTCTTAATGTCGAATTGACCTCCCGAGATACGTATCAATTTGAAAAATATTTGGACCCATGACGAGTCGTTTTACCATGGCGAAGGACGGTGTAAAATTAAAAACAGAAAAATAATCCGGCGCGAATTCACGTGCGACTTGAATTACGTCACCGTCATCCGCGGTATTGACCATTATTGACCTATCCTGTATTTATTTGCTTCGGATTTAATAACAGTCGAACATTTTTAGCAAACGTCTATGTTTGCTACAAATGTTTATATTAAATTTTGCTCGTTAATGCACTCGATCATTTTTTTGGCTTTTCTCTATCGCAAACAAAGCAAACAGATGAAGTCCCCGGGCAAAAAATATCAATTCATGTTTACATATTGATGCCAAACATCATCATTCTCTCGATATTAAATATCGAGCCAGTTATCGACTCACTCACCGTCATATCTTAGCGTATACTCTCTTTCACGTCCACAATCGTGATCTCTGTTCTTTCTTATGTCTTACACATAAGACCAGTGGCCGTGACGAAGAAAGCGTACGTACGAGCGTAGCATATTGGACGATATAGGGAATCGAAAAAGTCGAAATAGATTCTAATCAATTTTAACGAGACGGTGAACGATAGCCAATATTACACGTGATAAAGCCTTTGTCAGTCGATAACAAATTGCCTGATAACAAAATGCCTGATAAATTTCATTGCGCGAAGTGATTACGCGTTCTGGCAAACAGTTGTTCGTTCGCACGGCCGAGAGAGAACACTTCGAACTTGGAAAAAGAATGGGACCTATGCTGTGCTTGTTAGTGTTTTCGGTGTGTTCCGTGTTGGCGTGTTCCGCGCATGGTGAGTACTAAAGTGAACGTCGTCGGACTCGTAAATATGACTGACTTGAATTTCGCGACGCATTTCGAAAAGAGCGGTGTGTGTTCGTCGGTGTTCGTTTCCGAAATGGGGACACGGATTCCGATGCGGGGACAACGAGCGATCTTGCGTTGTCCAGCTACGGTTGATATGCATTACCGAATCATAAATACGCGTCGGACGCGCTCGCAACGCGAGCGGACGCGTTAATCGCGCTTGGATAAAATCGCCACGGTTAATTAATTTTTCATTTAACTCGCCGATAATTACCGTCGGACTCGCATATCCCGAAGCATAGTTCTTACGCTCACTATTCCGAATAACGCGGTAGCCGATTCGTGCGTTACGGTAACAACTCGGGATATTACGAGTTCCGCTCCACCGGTAAATCCTTTTGTCGTCGTGCAATTTAGATTTCGTTTCGCGACAGACGCGATACGTGGTGTGCGCAGTGCTAACGATCATTTGTGCATCAGGTTTATCGAAACGTTACGACCGTCGCATCGCGGATTTGGAGACTCACTTGGAGACTTTTCGTCTCACCGGTCGCATAGTCAACGGGAAGAAAGCCATTTCGAGACAATTTCCTCATCAGGTAATATGTAGCTGTCGATTTTAACCGAATGTGAATCTGAAGGCCCGTGCGCTTTTCTCAGGTGTCTTTGAGGCGCAGCCTTTCCGGATATCATTTTTGTGGCGGAAGTATCATTAGTGATAAATTTATTCTTACTGCGGGCCACTGCGTGGATAATGGGTACGTTGCAATTTCAAGTGGATATTTTCACCCTTTACAGTCTAATGTTTAATATAGCTGGACATCGATTTAATTCAGAGTCCTATGTCCAATATAAGCGGACATTGTGTCTGTGCGCGTGTGTTCTAATAAAAATCAAATTTTACGGTATTCTTATTGCAAGAAGAATACGTTTTTAGAAAAATTTACGGGATTATAGGAACAAGGCATGGATTTTTCAGTGCCGTTAGATATTAATATTGTCAATGTTGATATGTATTATAGGGAGATATGATGCTTGAATGTATGTTACCGTAAATATTCTTCGGTCTGCATATGTATAGAATTTTTAAATGTCAAGTTGAATATCAAATGTCAAATATATATTTATTTCCAATTAATGTAATTAATATATATTCACCAATATCAATATATATTTAATTTTAATGAGTTTCTTCCAATTTCTCATTTGGACCTGCTGGAATTCACTTGGAAAATAATAATCAAATATCACAAAGAGTTAATTAGCCAGATAATTAGTAGTCAATTCGAACCGTAAGTCGCCGTATTATTTCGAAGCGTCTGTTAATTCTGACTATTTCTAATTGCTAAAAAATAATATTCTGTCGCAGATCGCGTGATCAAACATATTTCATATCTATTTCCTTCTTATCGAGCAGATTATCTTTACTTGTGACATATCGATCGACATAATCCATAAGCCAGATAATTAGTAGTCATTTCGAACCGTAAGTCGCCGTATTATTTCGAAGCGTCTGTTAATTCTGACTATCTCTAATTGCTAAAAGATAATATTCTGTCGCAGATCGTGTGATCCAACATATTTCATATCTATATCCTTCTTATCGAGTAGATTATCTTTACTTGTGACATATCGATCGACATAATCCGATTAATAACCAGAGAAATCAATGAAGTCAGTGAAATAAATTGAGCAATTAATCATGCAGTGAAGAGGTCATCAAGGCTTGGACTGTCACCGTGGTTGCAGGAGAGTTGAGAACAGACAGGACCACTCTGACGGCTCAAAGAAGGGGTGTGAAAACCATCGAAGTTCATCCGAAATTTAATCGTAGTATTTTGCTAAACGACGTTGCTATTTTGGAAGTACGTTTAATGATTCATCGTATTGCTTTTGCAAACCGACTGTTACTCAACATTTTCATGATTATTAAAACGAACGCGGCCCGCATTTGGTTTTCCAGTTAACGGTACCTTTCGTATTCACTCCGGAAGTTTCTAGCGTTCCATTACTGTCATGTGATCCTACACCAAAAACATTATGCGCGGTGTCTGGATGGGGATATCTATCGGAGGTGAGTAAACGAAATCCTTTAATCGCAGGATATTTCGCTTGTAACGAGATAGCCCTGTTTCCTCAGGTTAAAATTTAAATGAAAATTTCCCGTTTCTCGAGTTAACACGCTTAAGATTTCAGGATGGTATACAGTCCCCTGATCTGATGTACGTGGAACTGCCTATTCGCGAGCCGAAAGAATGTCAAGAGCTGCTCGTCAATGTAACGGAGATGTACCTGGGGATGTTTTGCGCCGGTTTTCTCCAGGGAGGCAAGGATGCTTGCCAAGTAACACGTGCTTTTTTTTTATTTCACGTATACCCAGGTAATGCGAAAATTACTTTGTTGATATTTTCCAGGGTGATTCCGGCGGCGGTATGGTTTGCAACAATGTTCTAACCGGTGTTGTTTCCGGCGGCGAGGGATGCGCACGTCCACAGACACCTGGCGTATATTCAAACGTTCACTACTTCAGCGATTGGATACTGCACTACGTATCATACAATAAGTCCGACCGCGGATGCCCTAATTCCGGCGCGTATAATGTGCCGAGGATCATAATTGTTTCTTTCCTTCTCGTGTTATCGATCATGATTGGGCCTTGAAGCCGAAAATCTTTGTTAGCACATAGATACGCGTGTTTGTCGAGACAGTTAAACGAATGACGGTATTTTATGACTTACATCGCGTGAGACGTGAGTGAAATGCTTCGCGAGGTGGAAATGGAAACTTGGAAATTAACGAGACAATTTGTATGGTTTAACTAGTTGTGCACGAAATAATCCCTACGGGTATCGTGTGTTACAATTTGTTGCTAACGAATACTCCATTAATTATTTACACGAGATATTTTACATCGGGACGAATACGTCAGATACGTTTGTCTATATGTTATGCGAAAACCACGAGCACAAATTAAAAGTAACTGTTACAATTTTATAAACAATGGAAAGTAAAAGCAATTATATGGATATTTATTACATTTTATTGTTTTGCAACATTTTAAAAAGTTCGATTTTTGTATTTAAGTCTGTTATATTTTCCAGTTCGTATAGCTTCTTTCCTTTATCATGTTTGAAGTAAAAAACAAGTGTGATACTTGTAAAGTAAAAATACGTCTTAACAATCGACTTAAGCCTGGAAAATTTTATAGTTCGTGGTATCGTCGATGTATTTACAACTCAATGAAGCATCTATTTGTTTGGAGTCATTTCCGTTGGTGTTATCAGTGGATAGATTAACAGTTTCAGTGAAATCGCTCTAAATTTTTATGTAAGAAACAAACTTTATCGTGTGTTTGTTCGTCGATCGTAATTACAGTTGCTTGCTCCTATTTAAATAAGATTAAAACCGAAAATGTTATTTATTGTACGACGTCTAAATTCATATTAACATTTTTATATTCAACACATCTAATAAAAATTTATTAACGTGGTTTTAAATAGCTATAATATAAGAACGATAAGATGTGACGTACAATAATTCTTATCAATATAACTTATCATTATAACTTTTATAATTATCTGATTGTTTCCAATGTGACAGATAAAACCAGTAAAATTTTCACTTGGCTTTACTTTTATCATACACATGTGCGTTTATTTCTTCTTTTTTTAATTGTATTGTATTATTATTCTTTCTAGTTATTATAAAAATATCCTCTCTCCTTCTCTGGTAACAAATGACACAATTAATTTAATAATTACCGCCAAATTGTCCGAGCTCGAAAACACAATAAGGTATTGTTAACTTTTTAATGTTTAAGATTTTCTCGACAAAAATTTTCTCGAAAATAAAACTTTATATTATAAATTTTATTTTACACTCTCGATTTTCTTCTTCTTTTTTTTTAATACAGAATCATCTCTTTTCCCGTTATATTACAAAGATAACTTCTTCTTTTTTTTTTTGTGAAGAATCATCTCTTTTCCCGTTATATTACGAAGATCACTTGCAAACTTCAATACTTTGAAAAATTCACTTTGCAGGGAAACTTTAAAAAGAACTTTAATTTTTAATTTCGACGCTCCTTACGAAACAAGCTGTTTAACCATATCATATAACTACATCAACATTTTCTTCAAGGTAGGCGAGAGCAATCCAATTTTCATAATTTCTCGCAACTCCTATTAGGTGTGAAAGGGTTAATACGAGGGGCGATTTTTCGTTGCTTCACGCGCAAAGGGACATTCGAGAGGTGGAAGAGAATGAGAGGGAGTAAGAAAAAGGAAGAGGAGATAGACGTATATGACGTATCCACTTTGATCTCAAACGAGAAGCAGCTCCGGCAGACGCGTAAAAAGCACATACCCACTTAATACGTGGCAGATGATACCTCGAGAAATGTATTAGCGGATTGCTCGCTGCCAAGATGGGGAAACGTCTGCGGCGTATTCGCGAATCGCGCGGCTCCTTTACAGCGTCCGCTGGGCTTCGGTGCACCGGTATTAAATTCTGCGAGAGCCGGGTACCCTCAAAGAAACGCAGAGACTCTCTCTTGGCTGCTCTTTTAGATTGGATATAAATTTCACGCGCTAATATTTGCTGCGTACGCGCTGCCGAGCGAGTTGCGAGAAATTATGGAGATTGGATCGCCATTACCCACCTTCCAATAAAATATCGATCTGATTGTTCGACGTGTGGTTAAATAACTTGTTCCGAGAATGTAAATTAATGTTAAAATTTATGATTAAAAATCCAGATTCCTTCTTAAAGTTCTTCTACTAAACGAATATCGAAGTTTGATAGATTTAAAGTCATCGTGTGTGTCTCAACCTAAGAAACTAAGTTTGGTTGGATCAATCTGAAAATGGACGACCACAGGCGTCTTGATTGAAGGAAAACAGAATTTCTAGTTATAAGAATCAAATTTGGATAATTCTGCGAAATCGATAGAATACGATATATCCTCGATGAGGTCGTCGTTTAAGCTTTTCCGATTACTACCTAACATTCCACGCGCGAAAGAAGTCGATTTACAATCGGAGTGTATTTCGCATAATCGTAGACGCTTTCAACGTGCGGAATACAGTATCTTGTTATCTGGAACGCCTCTATAAAATAGATCCCAATGCATTTTGATCGGCAAGGACAGAGCGCGGAGCATCCACCGTTCGTACTCTCGCATGAATGCCCGAGCTCTTCCGGCTCGCGTGACCGCAATCTCCCGAAGCAGGCTTCCGCTTCCGAAAGTTAATCCGCGCGGAAACCCGAGACGCGCACTTCGTAGGGATTTCAAGGCTCGTGTAGGCTCGATCGATGCCCAGCGAAGTGATCGTGGAACTACGGGAGTGAGAGAGAAATAGGAGAGAAGATACGACGAGAGGAAAGTAGAGTATAAAATCGAGAGATGAACGAGTCGCGGAGGCAAAAATGGTGAGGGGGGCAAAAAAGGGGAGGATAGAGGCCGCGGGTGAAAACTGCCGCGTTTCACCTGATAAACGTAACTTCTGATACTCTCGCCCCTCCGGCTTCGCTTTTTTTTAAGTTCAGAAGGGCGTTTTTCACGGCCCCTCCGATGCCCCTCCGACTCTCAGCTCCACGTGTACACACCGCTTCCTCGACGGCGAGATGAAGAGAGGCGAGAGGGAGGGGGAGGGGTTTGCGCACCGACAGGGTCCATTCGTGACCTCTTTAATTCCGGGATCGAATGAGAATTCATTAGAGGATATACAGGGCCCGGCTCTCTCCCTCTCGCGCAGGGGTGGGCTTTTCGGCGGGGGTTTTAAATAAATTAAAAGTTTGCACTTTCCGCGGGGCGGGTAACCTCGCCGGGCGTCCAAAAGCGACAGCGAGCTAAACTCGATAGGTGGGGGCCGCGGGAGTTGGATGGAGAGCCCCCGACGATGAAGTTCCCTCTAATTACTCGCGGAATCGAAGGCAACGGCGGGAGGGTGAATTCGGTAGGCGAAGAGCGCGATGGACTCTATTCGGTACGGAGCTTTGCGCGCGAAACTCCCGTCGCGAGGTAGAAACCGATGGAGGAAAGGAGACGAGCTCGCGCGTGTTCGGTATTTCAACATCGGATCTTACGCTTGAGAAAAAGAAAGGGAGACGGAGAGACGAGGAGAAAGATAGATAGGGAGAGAGAAAGAAACGCGGAGGCGAAGACGCGTGCCCTCTCGACCGAGGCGTTTATTAACGACACCTTCAGCGAATCCGTGGGCATTCCGTGGGCGGGCTCATTATGTTAATTGTACATCCGCGTTACATCCGTGCACGCGTGGGCATTTTCGTTGGAGGTGCAATGGCAAAGTTTTGCCCGGCGAGAGCATATGTATATTCCATCGCGGAAGAGCTTCCCCACCTAGCGCGATCGATCTCTCGACTCGTTAGATGACTCACGGATTATTCGATTGCGATGTTTACCGGTGCTTTCAGCGTGAATAAAATTCTATCGCTGTTAAATGTCTCGCGGAAGATACTCGCGCGAGCACTCCCGAGACGGCTTCTCGGTGCCCGTCGTCGTCGCCGTCGTTGTCAGATATAAACGCCCGTAAGTCTGCGGACAGCTGCGTGCACAGAAACGTGTACACGTGTCACAAATAGATCAATCAGGATCGCCGAACGTCAGACAGAGACGGCGCAGGGCGCCGAAGGTCGCTTACGTGATCAACGATGATTTTACGACGCCTTTAAAGTCGTGAGACGGCTGAAGGAGCGTCGACTCCGTGCCACGAGGCGACGACGACAACGACTTCGAGGAACGAATCTCGCTTAATGACTCCGTTACGCATTAATAGCCGGCTGGAAACCGCTCGAAGATACACGAGGAAGTCGTTTCACGCGGATGTGACCGGAAATTCCAATAGCTCCTCCTGAAATAGGCAGCGGCTGGGTTTGCTTGCCGAGTAAGTTATGCGAAGTTCATTGTTGTAATTAACTTAGCGCCAGAGAATATCGATCGGCGGTGGATAGCGCGAATGTGGAAAAATCGTCACGGCCGAGATCCAACGTGCAGATTTAGCAAACCGATTTGCCATTCGATTATTTATACACGTGTGCAAAATCGCTCTTGGTTATCCTCGAATGTGTGAAATGAAAGTTGATTCACCGACCGACAACGCTGTCGGCGCTTTTGATATTAATTAATAAATATTCCGAATCCGACTTTTCAAACGAGGAAGAAAGCAAAAAGTGGAAAAGGAATGAAGACATTTAATAGCGTGCACGCACATGTAACTGCTACATTAATAACGTCTGTAGCTTTTTCATTAACTCGACTTTCACTTTCGGCGCGCCTTCATTATTCAAGCAAGATAAATCTTCGCTTGCTCGCGGTAACGTCGCGCAGTTGATGCCGGCAACGGTCAGCTTTGCGAAGGAAGATGAAAGAAATGCGCTTAAACTTGCGTCTCGCCCACGGTAGCGTTTTCTCTCCCTCTCTCTCTCTCGTTCTTCCACATTAGCGGTAGATGTCGACATTGACCGACTAATTAATTAAATGTAAACGCGGTGAACTGTGCGCTCTCTCTCTCTCTCTCTTCCTTTCGCA